GCTTAGAGAGGGCTGAAAGCCCTATGAAGTGGTATATAAGTCTAACTGCTATTGCTATTTTTCATTTCACTCATCTCTGTTTTCATTTCATTCATCTCCGTTTTCAATTCACTGTGATTTTTAGTCATCGCCTCTTGAAGCTTGATCATAGTTTCTTGGATGGTTAGCAATGTTGCCTACATATTTTGGATATTCGCCGCTGTATTTTGTTTCTCCATTGTAGCCATTCCTTCTGATGACCTTTAGGATGCTGGAGAGGCAGTCGATACCGTTATCGCTGGATTTACAGTTGTCTTTTTTCCAGCTTTCAGTGATGTTGTTGTGATACTCGTCATCTCTTTAAAAATTTAATTTTGTTCTTTTAATATATTATATATATTGTCCCAAAGTGGCATCCAATATCTTAACTGCTATTTTTATTTCAACTTACCTTCCTTCTATCAATATTCTTTTTCTCTCTCTTTTGATCACAATCCTAAATTTGCTATCAATAGGCTGTACAGTTTTACACTAGGTATTACTAATAATATATTTGCTTCACTGTTAAGTTTGTTGTTTGTTTAAAAGAAATTATATAATTCCTTAACTTAGCTTATTTTGTCTATATTGATCCACAAACAGTTATCCTAAAGAAGTATAAACAATTTAAATAATGTCTATATATATCTCTAAATTATTCAATAACAACAGGTAATAATAAGAAAGAAAGAGAAGACAAGGAAAGAGAAAGACAGAGACAGAAAGCCTCAATACTTATTTATACCAACAGTGCTATATCTTAAAAGTGCAATTATTTCATTATATCCTTAATGTGATTAATTCAAATAGGCATTTATAACTATATACATATACATAAAACTATCCACAAACTTTCCACTTACTTGTTTATAAATATATATAGATAGATATGAATACTTGTTTATTGGTATTGTAAATATTATATATAAATATTGTATATAATTGTAACTTAATTGTTTAAATTCTATTTATCATAACCTACACATTTTTCTGATGTATATCTTCCAATAAGTATTTCACCAAACTATTAATGCAGTCAATTTATTCAGCACCTTTTCTTTTACTTTTTTTTTTTAAGTTCTGGGTTGAATTACTTTTCTGTTCAGTCTTTGCAAAATTGTCCATGCTCTTCTGCTCTAANTATGTAGGGGTCATCGCTGGCTCTATAGGCAAAGTACAAATCCTAGGTGTTTGACTCAGCTACCTTTGGTTGAAGTTTCTGAGGGTGATGCAATGAAGGGGTGTTGGGCAATTCCTTTTTTCCCCTTTCTTTTAATTTTGTATAATTATTTTCTTTTATAGTTGAGCACTTTGCAATTAGCCATATTCTAAGATATTTAACTTTCTTTGTCACTTGCAGTCCTATTATCCTTTCTAATTTTTTATTTTGTTCTTCCTTCAAATTTGTAGTTATCATTTTAGTCTTTTCTCTATTAATCGTTAACCCTGCTACATCTCCATATTTTTCTAATTTTCGAATTAAACTACTTTCTGTTTCTAATGGATCTTTTATAATGAATACCAAATTACCTGCAAAAGCCTGAATTTTATACTCCTCTCTTTTAATTTTAGTTCCTCTTATTTCCGAATTTTGCCTAATTCTTATTAGCAGACTTTCAAGCATCATGATAAAGAGCAGAGGTGATAGTAGGCACCCCTGCCTTACTCCTTTCATTATTTTGATGGTCTCTGTACATTTCCCATTTAATAATATATTTGCCCTTAGGGTGGAGTATATCATTTCTATTAGTCTTTCAAATTGGTCCCCTAATTTCATATTCTTAATTTGTTGTATCATGAATTCCCAATTTAAATTGTCGAATGCCTTCTGTGCATCCAGAAAAACAAGTGCCACTTGTTTCTCTGGATGTGCCTTATAGTACTCTAAGATATTTGCTATTATTCTGATATTATTCCTAATTTGCCTTGTTGGAGGAAATCCATTTTTGGGTGTATATAGTCATTTAATAGTTTTTTCAATCTCTCCACTATTATTGTTGTGAATATTTTATAGTCGGCATTTAACAATGAGATTGGCCTATAGTTCTGAATCTGTTTTTTATCTGCACCTCCTCAAATAGTAATGTATTGTGTGCTTCCCTCGATGAATCCGGTATTTTTGCTTTCATCAGTACCTTATACATCTCCAACATCAAGGGTTCTATCAATTCATTCAATTCATCTATTATTTTATACCATTCTGCTGGAAATCCATCTGGGCCTGGTGTTTTATTATTTTTCTGTTTTTGGATTTCCTGTTTCAATTTTAGTCTCATTATTTCTTTTGACAATATTTATTTCATGTCCTCTGTTATTGACGGGCTTTCTTCTCTGTTCAGATATTCCTTTAATTGTTTTCCATCTACTTGCTCCCCTTTATACAGATTCTCAAAGAACTTGTAGGCATCTTTTTCTTCCCTTCCATTATATGTTGTAATTTACCAGTTTCCTCTTGAATTTGATATATTAATCTTTTCTCTCTCTCTTTTCTCAATCTATATGACAACCACCTCCTCGGTTTATTTGCTTGCTCAAAAGAGTTTTGTTTTGTTAGCTTTAGGCCCTTTACCATTTCTTCCTGGTCTAATATGTTTAATTTATGTTTTGCTAACATCCAATCGTTTCTAATTGTGTCATTGTGTGGCTTATTTTGTAATTCTATTTCTAAATTTTTAATTTCCTCCTCTAATATCTTCTGTTGTGCCCATTTCTCTTTGTTTCTTTTTGCTGAATACGCTATAATAATTCCGCCTAAATAAGCTTTCATGGTGTCCCATAGATTTTGTATAGATGTCTGTTCTTTTGTATTTTCCTTAAGGAATAATTCCAATTTGTTTCTACATTTTTGAATAAATTCTTTTTCT